GGGCAGCCGCATGCATCATGGACGTACGGGCGACGTCCATGACCATGCCAATGCGGCGCTCAACAATCCCATTTTGCTGTGGAGAGTCCGGAAGCGTAAAGGTCTGGCGGATACCTCGCGCACGGACAGTAGGCTCGCAGAAGGCCAGAGGAGAACTCTCCGCCTCGGTCAGAGTGCAGACGCAGAACAGGAAAGTCCGAGCCGAAGCTCCTCCTGAGCTGGAGACGAGCTGCGCGGATCCAGTCGATCAACACCTCAGTGACATCACCCTTGCTGCGCAAGGGGAAGACTGTGGTGTAACGCGAGTAGTCGTTAACCACCAGCAGGAAAGTAGCGCTCGTGACCCTGTCCACGGATGCGGGCCGGGCCCCACACGTCCATGTGAAGCGTCTGCAGCGGGGCCTCTGTCGGGGGAAACTGAGAGGAGAGAGGGGCAGTCTGCAGCCGCCCCTCGACACAGGGGGACGCAGGTGGGGCCAGGCCCCGGAGGAAGGGGAGGGATGGACCGGGGAAGACCAAAGACAAGGACACGGGAGGCCATGCCTCGGAGACGAGGCAGGGAGGGGTGACCAAGGCTGTGGTGCCAGAGGAGAGTCTCGTGAGACAGGAGGCGACACGAGCAGGGGGCAGACTCAGGACCAGACCTGGACGCTGCAGCAAACACCTGACCCGACGCAAGCCACCTGACCAGACGCAGGGACAGGAGGAGACTCAGTGGTCAGGGTGTAGACGCAGCCACCTAAACCCCGGCCGACACGTAAACGTGGCCAGGTGCCGGCCTGTGCGAGCGTCCGAGCAGTGAGTCACCCGCTGACTCGCAGGAGTAAACTGGTGAACCCCCGCATCCTGTAGGTCAGCACCACTCACCAAGTTCGTAGAGAACGAGGGGAGGTAAAGACCAGACAAGGTGCCAGAGGGGGCCGCCTGACATGGGAGGACACTGGAGAAGTGAGAAAGGACAGGACCCCCAGAGGGGTCTGCCAGGGAGACTGCAATCGGCCGACCAAGCGGCGTGAGTGTGGTGCGGTCTCGAAAGAAGGAGCAAGAAGCCCCTGAGTCAAGTGTGAAGGTGAGGGAGGCCGAAGCCGACGCGGTACCTGCGAGCGCAGACTCACCAGCAACCTGAGGACGCAGACGCACTGGCACCTAGAGCAGCAGCCTCACTGGCACCTAGAGCAGCAGCCTCACCAGTACCTAGAGCAGTAGTCTCAATGCCTGGGTCGGGCGGGAAACACCGGTAACAGTCCCCCTCATCACTAATAGACACAGCATACATGGCAGAAAGGATAGCATCAAAATCAAGATCATAGATGGCAACTCCCGCCCTAGACAGCTCGCCCCAGCGAGGGATCTCTGTGGCCTCCGGGAACTGGTGACGCCACGCGTCCGTCAGGCGGCTAAAGCAGCGCTGGGTGGGGTGCGCACCCCCACACTGCTCACCCGCACGGTCGCCGGTGCGCAGGACGTAGGTGCACGGACCAAAACCCCCACCCCGCTGGCGTGCAGTGTACCACTCACGGAGCTGCTGAGGGGACAGGGTCTCACAACCGCGCTGCTGCAGCTGGTGTGGACCACCACCGGAGCCACTCCTCTGCGTAGACCCGCGACCAGCTCCACCGCCACCCCCGCCGCCTCCGCCGCCTCCGCTACTACCCGCCGCCTCCGCCGCCTCCTCCACCGCCACCACCTCCGCCACCTCCGCTCCCACCGCCACCGCCGCCGCCGGCCTCCGCCTCCACTACCGCCACCGACACCTCCACCCCCACCTCCACTCCCACCGCCACCCCCACTCCCCCCGCCGCCTCCACCTCCACCTCCACCGCCCCCGCTCGCTCCTCCAGTGCCCTTGCCCCCCTTGCCCTTGCCCCCCTTGCCCTTGCCAGAGCGGCGTCTCCCGCTAGGGGCAGACGCCGCGCCGACCGACTCAAGACCAAGGAGGTCGGCCGCAGCAGCAGAGGCAACAGAGGGCAGAAGGGGGGAGGGGGAACACCCCTCAAAGATGGGGGTGCGCGGGTCACCACGAGAGGCCCCTACAGCGACTATGCTCTTCTTGGCCGCTAGGAGGGACTTCTCGAGGAGGTCAACAGTGAGAGTGGTGGGACAGACTGAGAGGAAGTGGTCCCTGACTACGCGAAGGGAGTCAGGGAGGCGAGTGACTATGTAGTAGAGAGTGATGTACATGGGGGGGGGGTTCTTGGCGCAGAAGTCAGCAGGAAGCGCAGCGCGGTAGCGAGTGTCACTAGTGCGGAGGTGCGTAATAAGGTCAGCGACTGTGGGAAAGGCAGCAAGGTCAGGGAAGAGGTACGGTAGCATGAGACGGCTCAGCGCAGCAGTGGCAGGGGAGGAGTAGCGTGCAACTACAGCGTCGTACAGGGTCTGAGCACTCTTGTACTGACTAAAGTGCGCACGCTCAGAGGTAGGGAGGTGGCGACGCACAGCAAGATGTGCAGCAGCATCGTGCGTGGCCCACTGTGAGCGAACAGTGGCGTCAGCATCAGCAGCAGGAGCAGGAGAGGCACCCGAGGTGAGGTCAAAGAGGGAGAGTCCGTCTGCCCTATCGCACTGTAAGAACAGCTGCAGGTCATCTATCCAGACGTAAAAGTCAATGGCTCGACCCTCGACGTCAAAAGTGAGGACACTAGGGGTAGCCATGACAGCAGTAGACTAGCAGCGCTGACTGTAGAGCAGGGGCAGTGCAGTGACATAGGCACTGCGCTCACCAGACAGGGCGGTTCGGGCAGCTCGGGCGGCTCGGCAGCAACTGCGGCTCGGCGGCGCCCGCGGCTCGGCTCCTCAGCTGCTCAGGCGGCTCGGGCGGCTCGGGCGGCTCGGGCGGCTCGAGTGGTTCGAGCGGCTCGGGCGGCTCGGGCGGAACGGGCGGCTCGGGCTGCTGAGCGGCGCGGGCGGCTCGGCTGCGTAGGCGGTTCGGGCGGGGCCGTAGGTAGGGCGACGGGGCCGGGTCGAAGGTAGGGCGACGGGGCCGGTGCGCATGTAGGGCGACGGGGCCGGGGCCGGGGCGCAGGTAGGGCGACGGGGCCGGGTCGAAGGTAGGGCGACGGGGCCAGGGCCAGGCCGTAGGTAGGGTGACGGGGCCGGGGCCGGGCCGTAGGTAGGGCGACGGGGCCGGGTGGAAGTTAGGGCGACGGGGCCGGGCCGTAGGCAGGGCGACGGGGCCGGGGTCGGGTCGTAGGTAGGGCGACGGGGCCGGGTTGACGGTAGGGGCGACGGGGCCGGTGCGCAGGTAGGGCGACGGGGCCGGGGCCGGGGCACAGGTAGGGCGACGGGGCTAGGGCCGGGGCCGCAGGTATGGCGACGGGGCCAGGGTCGCAAGGGGGGGGGGGGGGGCGACGGGGCCGGGGTCGCAGGTAGGGCGACGGGGCCGGGGCGCAGGTAGGGGCGACGGGGCCGAGGCGCAGGTAGGGCGACGGGGCCGGGGCGCAGGTAGGGGCGACGGGGCCAGGGTCGTAGGTAGGGCGACGGGGTCGCTAGGGCGACGAATCAGGGGCCGCTAAGGCGGCGCGACTTGGCCGCTAGGGCGGCTCGACGAAGTCAGAGAAGGGAGCGCGACTCCGGGCAGAAAAAAAAAAATTTCGACTTGGTGGGCCCTAGGCACAGTTCCCACGAGGGAACCTGCTCGATACCATGTGAGAATTGAAACGAGAATGAATGCACTTAGGAATGGAAAGTGGTACAAATATGCAACCCTAGAAATGTGTACCCCATATAGGCTACCCCACTACAGCCTACATAACATTATGATTTGACATGGCGAACTGTTACTGTAGAGGAAAATTGTCTACACGAAATCCAGGTTTTCGCCAGCCAACACTTTCGCGCTGGCAAGCCTGGTTCAAAACCAAAACTTCTGAACCTCCGCCAGGCAAATATAGACCCTCGTTTTAAGGTGTTTTGTACAGGTACTTGGACGCGGACACTCGCACCGATTCCGGCGATCGAAAGTGAGATTTCAATCCACACTGCACTGAAAACCTGCAATTACAATTTAAAAACCCTTCTATCCTTTCTAAAACCTGTAATGAAACGATCATGCATAGGATCGATCACGCAAATGTGGTGGGAGTGCCCGTGTCCTTACTAACTACTCCTTATGGAGTGATTAGTAAAGCTTTTCATACCGTACATCCATATGTTATAGATTAAATTTGCATGTAGCATTTGTTTGCGAGAATATTTTAATCCGAGCCTATTTCGTTATAATCTCAGTGATATTCCCTCGGCTGGGTCAGGCTGCCAACCTATGGTGGGGCTCCATGCGATGGATGAGCGCTTCGGAAAGCGGTTCGCCCCCCGACGTGGGTGCCACGGAATGTCGGGTGGCTCCTCCCCCAACCAACCTCAGGAACTCCACTTACGACTTCGCAACCCGTCGTCCACGCGGAGGCTGCGATTCCGTGGCCGATGCGACGCTCCTCTTGACAACCACGAAATCGCGTGCGACTGTACGACCAGCCCCTCCCCCTACCCTCTCAGACCTACTTCAGGGTTCGCGGGAGCTCCGCTTCCGTCGCCAGCGCAGGTACACCGACCCTACGTGCTCGAATTCCTTAGCAAGTATTCCCCTACAGCCCCCTCCAGCCAGCCCCTACCAGCCCCGCCCAGCTCTCCGCACCACTCTCCCCCTCCCAACCAAACACCCACCCTACCTCACCCACACACACTCCTCCGGGCGTAGTAAAGTCCCGCGGACAGCTGACTGCCGCTACATGTACGGGGAGGGCGCAGGTGAAGAAGAGGGGAATGTTGCGCTGCGCTCCGCTGCCTGGTTTCGTACGGGATGCGGATGGCCCCTCGTTGGCGTTGGGGCATCAGAACAGAACAGAACAGAACAAAACAGCCATGGCGCTCGTTCCAACAACCCTTGCTAGGTGCCGCTTCAGTATAGTTTTCGTGTTTTTCGCTCACAGTTTTGCTCTGGTCTATTGTTGAAGGAATTTCCTAAGCAAACGAGTATGGCCGACAGAAGTAGTGGCGCTAGTCAGATGGCAGTGGATTCGCGATTAATCACCGCACACGGCGCCACGGAGCATTCAGCGGAGCCCGCGTTGCTCCCGACATCCTCCACGTTCTTTTCTTCCAACAAATCCGCCGATTCCTCCTCGTCGCCGTCCACCTCTTCGTACTCCTCGAACGGCAGCACTGCCAAGGCCTATCAAGAGGTCCCTATCTACCGCACGACGGACGCGGCGCCACTGCCCGAAGCGCCCTCTCCGTCCTTTAGTCCGTTTCGGACCGCGCCGTACAGCGACCGCTTTATTCCCAGCCGCTCGTCGTCGCTCGCCTTCTCTTTCCCGCTCCTCGACCGCCCCGGCGACCCTCCGCAAACGTCGCACGGTTTCGGCGCGGGCCCCGAGGGGCGGGAGGACAGCGCAGCGGCGTACTCGCTGTTGCTCAAGTCGCAACTGCTCGGCGGGCAGCTTTCCGCGCCGCCTGCGCTAGGATCGAGTTCCGCGCAAGAGTCCGATTGCGTGCTCGGCAGACCGTGTCGCGTCCCCCTGCTTTCCGCCGCTACCTCCCCCTACTCCTCATCCTCCTCCCCCCTCGCGCCGAAGAATCTCTTCCGATATATTAACGGTGCAAGCAGCGCAGGCGGCGCCGCGGATCACGGCGGGGGGAGCGGGCTGGACTCACCGCTGTCGCTGTCGCCCATAGGGTTGGACGCCGCCTTGTGCGGGCTGCCGTTCAGCCCCAAAAAGGCGCCGCGAAAAATTGCAAGATCGCCGTTCAAGGTGCGCTCGCTCGCGGCGCGCCGAATATTCTCGCTTGCTTCTCATCTCCTCTCGTTATATGTCGCCCGTTATCAGGCTCACCGTATACCTCTCACGCACCGAGCGTTTGGTCGCTGCTCGATTGCGCATTAGAGACGTCTCAAATCCATGCGTTCGTAGGGTTATCAACGTTCGGACCGCCTAGCGGCCAACCAGTCGCTGGTGACGCCAGTTGCATCCCGCTCACCTCTCGTGCATGTGCCCTCCCCTCGAATTGCCCGCCTTCCCCTGTGGCCATCCCCGCGTCCACCCCGCGGCCAACCTCCGTGTCCTCCCGCCCGCTTCTCCGCTCCTCGCCGCCTCTCTCCACCGCCCCCCCACTCCGTTACCGCCCTTTCGCGCCTCCCGCCCCCGCAGGTGCTGAACGCGGCAGACGATTGTTATCCGAACGTCGTCGAACCTCCCCCCGCGCCTGACAACACTCCTTGCCCCTCTACCCGTCCCCTGTTTTACCAGGTGCTCGACGCGGCCGCGCTGCAGGGCGACTTCTATCTGAACCTGGTGGATTGGTCGTCCGCTAACGCGCTCACTGCACTCCTCGTCACCTCTTCATCCTCCCCCTTCCTCCTTCCCCATCATCAGGTCCTCGACGCGCCAGCACTGCAGGACGATTTCTATCTGAACCTGGTCGACTGGTCATCCACCAACGTGCTCGCCGTGGGGCTCGGCTCGTGCGTCTACCTCTGGAGCGCCGCTAGCAGCAAGGTGATTACATGCTGCCAGCAAAGCAGCAAGGTACTTAGCAGCTCTGCCAGCAAGGTCGTTAACGTGCTCGCCGTGGGGCTCGGCTCGTGCGTCTACCTCTGGAGCGCCGCTAGCAGCAAGGTAGTTAAATTTAGATACGTTTGCGCGAAGGCAGTTTAGTGTTTCCAGCAGCAAGGTTGTTAAACGAGTTCACTATGGAGTGCCGCCAGCAGCAATATCGCGATTAGGAGCGCCGCTGACAGGGAGCAAGGCGTTTAGATCAGATACCCTTGTTATGCCGCCGGCAGCGATGATTCAAAGGACGTTGCCGACATCAGGGTGATTAGAGGCGCCGAGTACGGGAAAGTAATGAGGCGCCGAGTACGGGAAAGTAATGAGGCGCCGAGTACGGGAAAGTAATGAGGCGCCGAGTACGGGAAAGTAATGAGGTGTTATTGAGATCAGGAGGTAGCTCCGGTTCAGGAGAGGCGCAGGCGAGCGGAACGGCGCGCAGGCGAGCGGAATGGCGCGCAGGCGAGCGGAATGGCGCTGGCGAGCGGAATGGCGTAGGCGAGCGGAATGGCGCTGGCGAGCGGAATGGCGCTGGCGAGCGGAATGGCGCTGGCGAGCGGAATGGCGCTGGCGAGCGGAATGGCGTAGGCGAGCGGGAAGACGGAGAAGGGGAAAGGGAGGAGGCGAGCGGGAGGGCGTAACTGCGTCAGTGCCGTTGACGGGGAAAAGGGACGGGTGTAGAGATTTGTTGAAGCGATAAGGGTGGCAGCTGGGGAGTTACCTTCACTATTGACCATTCCGCTGACTGGCGCGCGCACGTGCCACTGTCTGGCGCGCACACATGCCACTGTCTGGCGCACGCGCATGCCGCTGACTGGCGCGTGCGCACGCTATTACCCCGCGCGTGGACGCGCGCACGAGACAGGGCTGGCTGGATGGTTATCCGCGAGTTCGCATGGGTCCCGAGCGGAGCTGAAGGCTTTTTGAGCCGACAATTAAATCGCATGTGACGGCCTTTCTGGCTGGCTGGTTGCACGTGCGTTCCCATTGGTCCCGATCGTAGCTGAAGCCGGCACTCCGTCGTCGTCGCGATCGCCGCCAGCTGGACGGCTCAGAAGCACTCCCTTCTCAATCCCACCCCGCACGCCCCTTCCCTTCCACGCGCCCTTTACCTTGCGCGCGTGTCCCATTCTGCGCGCCCCTCTGCTTGCGCCCACCCCGCGCAGGTGACAACTCTGGTGGAGTGGGCCCGATCGACGCCGTGTGCTCCGTCGGCTGGACGTCTTAAGACCACTCTCTTGTTCCCTTCTCCTTCCCGACGTGCGCTTCCCCTCTTCCGCACACCCCTCCCCGGCCTTTCCCCCCCCTCCCCCTCCCCCTTGCGCAGGTGACGAAGCTGGTGGACGTGGGCCCCAGCGACGCTGTGTGCTCTGTGAGCTGGACGCAGCGCGGCACGCTGCTGGCCGTCGGGACCAACAACGGTCACGTGCAGGTGTGTGGTGGACACGTGAAGGGGAGTGGGGAGCATGTGACGGGGTGTGGGGGGCACGTGCATGTGGATTTGGGCGCGTTGGGGCGCGTTGGGGTGCGTTGGGGTGCGTGGGGAGCATGTGCAGGGGTGTGGGATGAAGCAACGACGGGTTGGGTACCAATAGACGAGCGTGTTTGCCTCGCCCCTCAAATCCCCCCTCCATTGATTCTCAGGTGTGGGACGTGGTGAAGGGGCGTCGGGTGCGGTCCATGGGCGGGCACAGGGTGCGAGTGGGAGCCATGGCGTGGGCGGCGAACGTGCTCGCCACAGGCAGCCGCGACCGCAGCGTGCTGCAGCGGGACGTGCGCTCTCCTGTGGACTTTGTTGCTCGACTCACTGCTCACAGGAGCGAAGTGTGCGGGCTCAAATGGTCGCCTGACGACAGAGAGCTGGCTTCCGGGGGCAATGACAACCAGGTGTGTATTTGTGGTGGGTTCAGGGGCAGCATAGGGTGCAGTGTGGTGCAGAGGGACGAAGTGAGTTCTTATTGAAATGGTCGCGTGACGATAGGGAGCTGGCTTCTGGAGGGAATGACAATGTAGGTGAGGCGGAGGCAGGGGCAGGTGCAGTGGCGACCGCACGTCCCTCTCGCCTATGGATCTAGTAATGCAGCTCACAGCTCCCCTTCCCCCTGTCCCCGTCCTTCCCTTCCCATCTCCCCTCTTCCCCCTCCGACCCCTCTCCCCTCAACAGCTCCTGATTTGGAGTGTGCTAACGTCACGGCAGCCGGTGGTGCGATTCATGCAGCACCAGGCGACAGTCAAGGCCATCGCCTGGTCGCCGCACCAGCACGTTTCGTCTACCACCCCTCAACACGCCCCTCCCTTGTGTTCTTTTGTCTCCCCTCCCTCCTCCCTGCCCCGTTCTCCCTCTTACAGCTGCTAATCTGGAGTGTGCTCACCTCACAACAACCAGTGGTGCGGTTCACGCAGCACCAGGCAGCAGTGAAGGCCATCGCCTGGTCGCCGCACCAGCACGGCCTGCTCGCGTCGGGAGGCGGTACGGCAGATCGCTGCATTCGCTTCTGGAACACCGCCACTGCCACGCCTCTGTCGAGGGTCGACACTGGTAGCCAGGTCGGCATCTCTCTCATTTGTCTTCTCTCTTGACCGCTCTCGACCTCTCTTGACCGCTGCGTCCGCTTCTGGAACACTGCCACTGCCATGCCTCTGGCCTGGGTCTGTTGACCGCTCTCGACCGCTGCTTTTGATTCAGGCGCACCGCTACTGCCCCGCCCTGGTCGTATGTCGACACTGGTAGCCAGGGCCCAGTTGGGAACCTGACTGGATCGATCTCTCTTCCCTTCACGTGGCTGTGTGTGTCTCTCTCATCGTGCCTACCTTCCATTCTCGCCCTCCCCTCCACTCATTCGCACTCCTTTCCACCCATCAGCACTTCCCTCCACCCATTGGTACTCCCCTCCACCCATTGGTGCTCCTTCTCAACATTGCCTTTTTCTGTGCCTGCCAACGTGTATGCATGCATCTGTGGGCATGTGTGTGCTCTGTGCATCCGTGCATGTGTGTGTCTCTGCACATGCGGATGCTTTGATGCATCTTTGAATGGGTGCGTGCATGTGCTGGCATGCGCTCATATGTTACCGCACGTCCCGAATGCATGCATGCATGCAGGTGTGCAACCTCCTCTGGTCGCGAAATGCCAACGAGCTAGCAAGCACACACGGCTACTCGCAGAATCAAGTCGTTGTCTGGAAGTACCCCTCCATGGCGAAGGTAATCACCTTTTATGGCAAACGTTTTATCAACTTTCACGCACACTGAACACAGTCTGCTGCCACCAGCCACGGTTGAAATGCATAAAAAAGACAGAAGAAAAAAAGACTGCAAATTTAACTCATGTTTCTATCATCCTGCGTTTTCTTGTCCTTTTCTTGCCAGCTGGCCACCCTAACCGGCCACACCATGCGGGTGCTCTTCCTCGCTGTGTCACCGGACGGCCAGGTGCGTCTTCTAGCGGTCTGGTAGAATGGTCAAGTGCGTCCTTTAGCAGCCAAGTGTGTCTTTTAGCAGAATCTTACCAGCCTCTCACCTGGAAAAAGTTTTTGTCTGGTGAAAATGCTTAGCATCTAGGCATATCGGGGGATGGCTCTTGGTTTGACACACAAGGCCACTCTGGTTCTTGCCATCCAGGTTAAGTATAGTGCAAGGATGTTTACTTAAAACATAAATATGTCATTTTATGCAGCAGATGCAGCGTTTTTCGATTGTGTTGGATCACGCTTCTTTTAAGCACAGACCACCCCCCCGGTCTATCATCTTGATACAATCACAGCCATTGTCCCCTTTATCCCTTACCATTACAGACCATTGTAACGGGAGCAGGCGACGAGACCCTTCGGTTTTGGAACGTCTTTCCGGGAACCAAGTCACAGGTATGCAACACTGTCATTCACATTCATGCACTCACTTATTGGCCCATGGACGCACATA